AATATGCTTTACGTAATTGATGTATGTATGTATGGCGATAAGAGTTGTATGAGCCCCCAATAAAACGATTAAAAAAATAAATAAAAGGTTTTGGAAATATTGATGGCAACATTTGTACAAGTGTGCTTAATACAATTGAATGATGGATTGTTATAAGATTTGTAAGAAAGAAAAAAAGAATTGTAAGACACCCCCCTCCAATAAAATGTTCAATAATAATAAAAAAAAGAGTTCAAACAGTGTGTTGCATAGTGCATTGCATTGGTAAATCTGCTGCACAAGACCTCATTCAAGTATTGAAAATCAAGGATGTTATGTTGAGAATTAAGGTGCACCTGAGCCAAGCCGTGATATTTTCATTTGCCTCCTATGCATGTGAAAGCTGGACCCTGAATATGGAAGACCAAAGAAGAATTGATGCATTCAAATCATGGTGCTTGTGAAGCACATCGAGAGTACCCAGACTGCCAAGAGAACAAACAAATCTGTCTTAGAGGAAGTGGAGCCGGAATGCTCCTTAATGGCAAAGATGGCAAGATTTCATCTCATGGACTTTAGACATGTTGTCAGTACCTGGAGAAGGACATCATGTTTGGTAAAGAAGAGGAACATAAAAAAGAGGAAGGCCATAGACAAGATGTATTGACACAGTGGCTGCAACAATGGACTAAAACATAGCCATTGTGAGGATGGTGCAGGACTGGGCAATGTTTCCTTCTATTGTACATTGGGTTGCCAGGTGTTGGAACAGACTGGACAGTACTTAACCACAACTACAGCACCTGGCCTCTTTAGTGGGTTAAAGAAGGCTAAGTAATTTCAGTCTGAAGTCCACCTCACCCAGCTGTGTGATCCTGGACAGATCAGGATATTGCCAAGAACAAAGGTGCAGGATTGCCTGTCTGTTCCTGCCAAAGACCAGGTTGATTCAAGGAACTCTTTATTCTGCAAGCGCGATACAGAAGGAAATTGTGTATTTGTTACCTCCAAGCTGCTTTGAAAAGCCAGTGAAAATCACTCAAGTTATATATCCCAAGCTATGGGACAAAAAGCAGACTTTGCAATGACCACAGGAAACAATTCCTCAAACTATGTAACCAAAAGCAGATTTTGCAATCAGGAAGCCTAATACAAAAGAGAGGTAGAGACATGTTTTCCCAGGTACCTCCCAGCACAAAGGAAGATGAAGGGCAGATAAGACCTATTTCTTCTTGAAAGGATGAGATGAGATAGTGAAAAGGTTCATTGAGGAAAGGCAGGATGTTCACATGACCCCCACAATGACTGAATAGACTCCTGGGCTTTAGGTGTGGGGACAAGGGCACAACGTGAAGTGTGGTGTACATGGGTACACATACCTAGAAAGAGGAGGTAAACTACAGAAAACCAGCCAATAGCAGAAGACCCACAGAAAGTCAGTCAATGGGGAGAGGACCACCATTAGGAGAATAAAAGGCCTATTTCTACATTCCACCAGGCCCTCAACTAGCTAAGGACCCTTCAGAATCCTATACCGAAGGTTCCCTGTAATAAACTCTGATCTCTGTCAAATCTTTCTTGTGAGTGGGGACAAGAACAGAGGAGTGGAGAGGTTCCTGGTAGAAATTCAACACCCCACCCCCCACCCCCCAAAGCACTGTGCTCCATTGCTTATCGTGCCTGGCTACCTATCTTAATGGCCTTACTTACCACCTTCACCGAGTTGGAAAACGATCCTTACTGATTATGCTTTAAAGGAATGTTTACAAGCTAGGGACCAGTTACATCTTGGAATTCTTAGACACTAAATCTTAAATTCTATTTCTCATATTTTGATGGACAGCAGGCAATTCCACCGGTCATCTCCGCCTCACTGCATTTTGTCCCTCCCAGGACGGTGAGTGCTCACGATGGGTTTCGCACAAACAAAGATGAATGAGGGGGCTCTTGCCCGAGTGACAGACTTTTCGTAATCTCCTCTGTAAAGTGAGACTAATACTCACGGCCTATCATGGGTTATTTTGAAGAGGAAAGGCGGTAATAAATGTTACATGTTCATGTACAGTGCCTGGAACACCCAGAACATTACCCACAGCCAGCCACCGAGCGCATCCCGACTCACGGGGGCCCTGTAAGGCCTTGTACGACTGCTGTAAACCTTTCTTTACGCGCGCGCAGGCAGCATCGTCTTCTGCCTAGAGAGGCTGGTGGATTGGGACCACTCACCTGTGGTTAGCAACCCGACGTCTAACTCACAGCTGCGCCAGCCAGCTCTCTTTTGCTTGAGGGCTCCATGCCTGGTCCTGAACTCTAAAAATTCTAATCATTCAACAAGACATTTTCCTATCAGTTCCCTGCTTCATTTAGGGGAGTGAAATAAAGTCACTAAGGGCGGAGTAGAGGATGAACGACATTATCTTCGTTACTTTAGTCATTTCCTTCTTACGCCAATCAACAGGCGGCTGACTGCGGCCAGAGGAGGCGGCGCTACCCGGCCTGCGTGCGACTCGCAGGGCAGTACACCAGCCTAGCGGAGCGGCGACGGCGGCGCAGCGGCGCGCCCTGCACTTCCGCTCGCCAGGGGGCGCTCGGCCGGCGCCGGCTCCCGAGGGGCGGGGCGGGGCGGGGCGGGGGAAGGCGGAGCCAAGTCGGCAAGATGGCGCCGCCCGCGGTCCTGCGCCCTTTCTCCCGGCTGCTGACCCCGGCCCGGCTCCCGAGTAGTCGTGAGTGTCCCTCTTTACACGTGCAGACCTGACTTCTCCTTGTACCTCTCCCAGGGGAGCCAGGTCGGCGGGAGATGCGGGCAGCTACGGCTGGGCCTATCCCTGCCGCGACCTTCGCCGGTCCTAGTCCCGGAACCCAGGTCGGCCCCCATCCCGACTTCACCCTCCATCACCCGCCGCAGACCCACCTACGCTGCCCGGCCCGGCCCCCGCGAGGCAACGTTGGGTGTCCCACTTCCACCCCAACCTTCCCCTGAAGGCTTATCCTGTAGATCTGGGGAGGGAAGATGCTCCTGCCAGTGGTCTGTGGTCCGCGGGCCCGTAAACTGAGCTTTGAAGGCGTGCTGGGGGCCGGGCACCCTTCGAATCTGTTTGCTGGGCTGATTGCTTGGGGAGTGGAAGAGAGAATTAATGTTAGCTTTCTCTTCAAACCGGGCAGAAAGTTACAGATTTACTTATTCTTACCCACTCTCAATTTCAGTTTCAGCGAGGTCGAAGTTCTACGTTCGGGAGCCGATAAATAGCAAACCTGATTGGCTGAAAGTTGGGCTGACCTTGGGCACCACAGTCTTCCTGTGGGCCTATGTAAGTACCTTGCGCCCTGTATCCCGAAACTCCAATAAGAAATGGCATTGTCACACCGGATATTGGCGTTAATGACAACCATAAATCAAACTGAACTCACAGCCATGGAGTCAGTTTCTATTAAGCGAGCCAACTGGCCTTATGAGTTTCCAAGACCGTGGAAAGCCTCGTCTTTCTCCCTTAGAGCTACTGGTAGTTTTCAAATTGCCAACCTTACAAGTTAGCAGCCCAATGAGTAACCCACTAAACCTTCCAGGGCTGCTTGAGGCCAATAAAGTTGGGTGTTTCTGAAAAATTCCCCTCCATAAGAGAAATCCCAAGGACTTTTTTAAAAGTATTAAAATTTCACTGACTGAAGAACATATCAGCCTGTGTGATCAGGAGGTGTCCAACGTATCACTGAAGACAAATGGGTGCATAAGCAAATGTGGTGAATAAAGCTGATGGTGCCCGGCTGTCAAAAAGTATAGCGTCTGGGGTCTTAAAGGCTTGAAGGTAATCAAGTGGCCATCAAGCTCAGAAGCAACAAAGCCAACATGGAAGAACATATCAGCCTGTGTGATCACCAGGTGTCCAACAGATCACTGAAGACAAATGGGTGCATAAGCAAATGCGGTGAATAAAGCTGATGGTGCCCGGCTGTCAAAAAGTATAGCGTCTGGGGTCTTAAAGGCTTGAAGGTAATCAAGTGGCCATCAAGCTCAGAAGCAACAAAGCCCACATGGAAGAAGCACACAAGCCTGTGTGATCACCAGGTGTCGAAGGGATCAGGTATAAGGCATCATCAGAACGAAGAATTTTACCATGTGAATGAAGGAGGGGAGTGCGGTGTGGATACCCAAAGCCCATTAGTAGGCCACTGGATATCCCCTTGCAGAGGGGTCTCGGGGAGGAGACGAGCCAGTCAGGGTGCAATGTAACAACGATGAAAAATAGAACTTTCCTCTAGTTCCTAAATGTTTCCTCCCCGCTCCCACTATCATGACATGAATTTTACCTTGCTAGTCTGGCTGGACCAGAGGATGTACACTGGTACAGATGGGAGCTGGGAATCCAGGGTGGATGATCCCTACAGGACCAGTGGTGTGAGTGGTGGTACTGGGAGGGTAGAGGGAGAGTTGGTAGGAAAGAGGGAACCGATTACAAGGAACTCTGTGACCTCCTCCCTGCAGGATGGACATCCAGGAGGGAGACGTCGGACAGGGCAAGATATGACAAAATAACAATTTATAAATTATCAAGGGCACATGGGGGAGGGGGGAGCGGGAAGGGAGGGGAAAAATGACCTGGTGCCGGGGCTTGAGTGGAGAGGAAATGTTTTGATAATGATGAAGGCAATGAATGTATAAATGCGCTTTACACAATTGATGTATGTGTGGATTGTGATGAGAGTTGTATGAGCCCCTAATAAAATGATTTAAAAAAAACACCCATTATGTGATAAATCTGACCTAAGCTTAATTCAAGTTATATTAAACCCTAATTAAATATTTAAAAAATTTTTCACTGACCTAGTAAAAGCCGTTGAGGTTTAAATTGTTGTCTTTCATTGTTAACAAGCATGATTTTATAAGGAATATTGGTTTTGCTAAATATTATGTTTTGTTATTCTTAATTTTTAATAAGGACAAAGTTTTTGGAAGGCACTGTTTTCAGTTGCCACAGGGACAAACCAATAATGAACAAGATAAGGTAGGGGCTTCCTGGAGTACCTGGAAAAGGAGCTGATGGACATCTTTCCACAAACTTTGTAAAAGACTTTCATACAAATTGATTCCTCCAAGTCTTCCAAAACATTCCGTCTTAATGTGTATAATAAATAAATTATTCACATTGTTGGACATATGTAGTGTGTGGCAGCCCCCCCCCCTTCTTTCTTTTGAGTCTTTCAGTATCTCAAGTGCTTTTCATAACTTATCTAACTTTTTCAACATTGTATATAGTAGGCATGATTACTGTTGCACTTTTACAAATGAAGAAACAAGCTTGGAGAGATTCCTTGGCTGAACCTAGTATGAAACCCTGCTTCTCTGTTTACTTCTTTTTTTAAGTTGCAGTGTTTGTTTTGTGTCATGTTTGGGGGATTTTTTTCCATTGCCTCTTACGCCAGCACTTAGATCTCCTAGGTGGGATTTATTTCATTACCAGTTGAGGTCCCTGACATGGGAAGGGTAAGAGGTGTTGAAATCACCACTTGGCAGGAGTAATGCCTCTTTTTCAGTGTTTTGTTATAAGGAAATTTTACATATTCTTAATTTGAGCTAAGGTATTTTCTAAAAAGAATCTTGATTTCTCCTGAGGGCACAGTGATTGAATTGGCTCTTTAATTGAAGTGACTGTCACTCGGCAACAACTATTGTTCCAATTCCATATTCTGTTATACAGTCTAAAGAAAGTGCTTTTCCTCCATGACATTTAACTCCTACACGTAGATTAGGAGTGGAGTCGGTAATTCTTTTATAATAGCAAAACTTAAAAGGAAAAGGTTAGCAATATAACATAACCCACCAACCAGTTTGAGTACTATTTAATAGCCAGGTTTTGTTGTGTCAGATGTTGAGTTAGCCCCTCTGTGGTAAGGCCAACGTGCCCTGGTTGTGCAGTGGGTTGGTTAAGCATTAGGCTGCTAGCTATAATATCAGTAGTTCAAATTCAGGGAGAATGGTGAGGCAATCTGCTTTCATTAAGCTGTTCCTCCTCGGACACCCTATGCAGCAGCAGATCAGGAGCTCAAAACCACTGCCTTTCTGAGGGAGAAAGACAGGACTTTCTACTCCCAAAAGGAGTTAAAGTCTCGGAAATCCACAAGGACCAGTTCTACCGTGTCCTCTAGGGTCACTATGAGTTGGCACCATCTCGATGGCAGTGAGGGTTATTTCTTAGTTGTAGGGTTGCTATGTGTCAGAATCTACCCAGTAGTTGGTTTGCACTTGGTATGGGTGGTAGGTAAATCACTACATTTTATATGCCATCCATTAAATAATTTAGTTGGCATAAATTGAGTCCAAATTTTGAGGATTGCCTACTCAAATTTAGTATGTCAGATTTTAATGAACAGTTGTATAGCATTCATTTTTAGAATGTTAGCCTTTTATTTCGGACTAAAATAGTTGTAATTTTTTTAATCTGTTCTTATTCAGCTCTTGCAAAACACCGCACCAATGATGCACAGGTAGAAGTAGCATCAATAACCCTCTCCTGTTTAAGTTTGCCAGAAAGATTGTGTTTCTAATTTTAAATGTCACCTACTTCTAGCTCATCAAGCAACATAATGAAGATGTTTTAGAGTATAAAAGAAGAAATGGGTTGGAATAAACGATTGAAATACTGATACAGTAAGTGTTCCATTTTATGATTATGCAAGTTAGCCTGACTTCTTTTTAGATAATGGTTGTTTGCGTTTTTTATTAGGCTTCTACTTTTTAGCACCCTATTTCTGTTTATGATAAATTTATAAATATTTAGTACCTTAGACATCTTTTAACAATCATTTCCTATCACTACTCTTGGCTTCCTGTTCAGAGGAAATTATACTTAAGAATGAAACAACAAGAATAAAAAGAATGAAAACAAATCACTTTTTAAAAGTAGTATATTAGGCATTTCCTTCATAGCACTTATGTTAAGTAATAATTCTGTGTACATTATATAATATGTGTTTGACATATTCAAATACTTGACTAAATTATTTGAGTACAGGAACCCTGGATATTTTATGAGTCATTATGTACTCAGCAACTTGCCCAATATCTGGCCTGGTCCACCTAAGAGTTTAGTATTTGTGAAATATGTGGGCAGAAGTTTTTTGAGTTGTTGGTTTGGTTTGGTTTTGTTTCTGATTAACCCTGAAATTATGATTGTAACTGCAGTTAATATCCAATTAGAGAGTCCCAGGTAAAATCTGGTTGCAAATAAAATTGCATAAACCCTGCATGGTGTGTGATTTAAAACAGAGGTAGATCTTATTTTGAATATATATTCAGCATATTTCAAAAAATGCTTGAAAAGAAATCCTTTAACCTTTTGTAAAGCGGAAAGGCACTCATAGATTTCACTTTTCATGGGTTATGTTTACAAAAGTAGGTAGCTTTTTTTTAAATATCTTTTATCTCCTGGTTATAAACATAGTCATCATTAGCATTCACTTGCTCTTGTACTTAGCTGCTCCCAAAACTCAGGTCCTGGGATTGGGTTTCCACTGCTTATCAGCTTGCCTATTTCAGTATCTCATTCAAGGAATCGAAAGATTAAAAACAAACATGATTGTAAATCCAAACTTAAATGCTTTTTCTGAAGAATGGTAAATTAAAGTGTTTCTTATTGAAACTTAAAATGCAGGGTTGCTACTCTGCCTTTGATTTCTAGACTTTCCCTGCAGCTCTTAAGTTTAATTAGCTTATTCAGAGTAGTTCAGTTTTACTGCTTCTGCTAGTGATGCTCTTGTGTTTTGTTCCCCTCACTCCCTTTATAGGTCTGCTCCGTGTAGTGATTGCAGGAATTCTTCTGGATTCACTAATCTTTTGGATGTAAATGAGAAAGAAAAGCTATTTGTGAATGTATATCTCAGCCTTTGTGGGTTACTTCAATATGTGAAACAAATTAAAATACTTCCTTATTCTTCAGATAATGCATCTTGTGATAACTTGGCAGAATATGTGAACTTTAAGGTATAATACTAAAAGTGTTTCAATTTAGAAGGTATGTGTGTTGTACAAGTGGAAAAGGATAATCAGTAAACATTGAATGCAAATTTAATCTACTACCTAATGTTGACTACGTGCAGTGATTTTTTAGGACACTAATTTCCTTTACCACTGATAATTGAGTCCATGGTAATTAAGGACACACTGGTTAAAAAAAGAAAGCTCTTATGGAGATGAATTCAAGAATCACTGCTGAAGTCACTGAGTCCTTTATCACAACTTTTAAATTCATTACCAAAACACTTAATCTGTATTATGTTGGGGAGCTGGAAATAGCCTATTACTCTGAATACAAAGCCAGAACCCATGGCTGTCAAGTTAATTCTGACTTAACCACAAACCTATGTAGAATTTCCAAGACTAGATCTGTACAGTGGCCAACAGCATCATCTTTCTCCCATACACCATTTGGTGGGTTTCAGCTGCCAGCCTTGCAATTAGCAACCTAATGCCTAACCTATACCACTACTAAGGTTCTTTCAAAACACAAAGAGCCCAAATACTGTTTTCATCTTAGAGGTCTGGTAGTCAGAGAGCAAAGACCAAAGAAGCAAAGCAAAGTCCTGTTCCAGGCTTCAGCCCAACCAGTTAAGTTTAGCAGAATTATAAACTCAAGGTCAGAAAGACCATATATTAAGAAAAACCCATTGCATTGCAGACCCTTATCTAAATTTGACTGTGATCAACTCCGACTTCTATCTGTACCCGCTTTTTTTTTTTTTAATGGAAATTCCGTTTACACTACTAAATGAAGTATCCTTTAGCTACTGCTCTAATTTCTCTTGGAAATGATATTTTGCTCAGTCCAGCCACTCTTCAGCTTAGTAAAAATCCAACTATCCATTTCTTTACAATATGGTTTTGGGAAAGCAGAAGGCCTAGGTACAATTGAATGCATCCTAAATCCAATAATGGAAACCCAACTCAAGCCATGTGAATCTAAAAGAGTTATTATAAAGATGTGTGTGGGAAACAGGAAAGGGAAGACAGTGTATGTGGACAAATTGTTTATTCTCATATTTAAGAAGCCTGGGAGGCTAGGGGTCTGGGTGGAGGGAGGCCTTCACACTTGTGAATTAGAGATGCATCCCAATCACATTCTTATAACTAAAAATAATCCCCACAGTATCCTCCCATAGTAGTGCTACCTTAAAGTTACCTCTTACAAGCACATGGCTGATTGCTATCTGGCCGGCAGCTTTAGGAGCAGACACACTATTGCTCTCCCTGCTCAGGACAGCCATTCCCCCTTACGTTCCCCCTAACTGGTGTTAGGTTACTCCCTCAATGAACTCAGGACCTCTAGGGTTAGGGTACAGCCCTCTGTTATGTATGGGGTTACCTGTAATTAGGGGGGTTGATAGAAGAATACACTTTTGTCTCCTGCTGGGACCTGGTTCCGGATGCCATGGCAGAGGTGAGTACCCCAAAGCTTTTGTCTGTCTCGTAATTTCTTCCCTAGGACCATCGGCTGTGGGGCGGATCCCACAGACACAGAGTGACTCAGAGGCACTGAGGCCTAGGAATAACAGGCTTGGACATCAAATGTTACCAAGACTTGCTCTGTAAATTCACTTCATTTTATTTTCCTTGTACATGGTTTGGTCCAGTTTACACAATTTGCAGTGATTTGTCAGTTACTATGCAAATTAAAACAAAAAATCATTGCCATTGAGTCAAGGCCGACTCAGAGAGAGCCTACAGGACTTGGTAGAACTGGGCCCATAGGGTTCTGAGTGTAACTGTTTACCGAAGTAGAAAGCCATCGCTTTCTCCCTGAGGGCAGCTGGTGGTTTTAAACTGCTGACCTTGAGGTTAGCAACCCAGTGAATAGACACCAGTGCCACCCGGCCTCCCTACTGTGCAAATGGGATATGTAAAACCATCCAGTCACATAAAGCAACTGTGGGAATTGGTTGATCACTGTGCAAATAAAACCTCTGAGGTCTGCTAAGGAGACTGATCAGGTCGGGGTCTGGTGGTAAGACCAGGATTTGACATTTACGTGACATGCTGCTGAGCAGTGAGGTTGGCAAGACTTCACCTCCAGTACTTTGGAGGTCTTACCGGGAAAGATCAGTCCCTGGAAGAAGCCATCATACTTGGTAGAGGGACAGTGAAAAAGAGGAAGACCCTGGACAAGACAGAGTCGCACAATGGCTGCAGTAATAGGCTCAAGCATAGGAACAATGATGAGCTTGGTGCAGGACTGGCGCTGCCTTGTTCTGTTATGCATCGAGTCAGTGTGGGTGGGAGGTAACTCAGGGGCACCTAAGAACAGCATGAGTCGGAACTGAGTCCGCAGCCCCTGACAACAGGTTTACATAATGGCCAGTTGCACAGAAGTTGAGGGGAACCTTCCCATCATTAAGAAGAGCCTAGGTATAAAGTATATCCTAGGCTCCCTATACTGAGACGCTTCTAGATCCAGAAGAGAGAGCTAAACCTTTGAAGATGGTGAAAAATGATGCTAGCCTGCACAACAGGAAGAGCAGCAGCAGCACAAGGAACCAGGAGACCAGCACAAGGCAACTGTGGTAGCTGCCTGACCATGATACACCAGAACTGGGTGCTTTCAGCCTCCAAGCAATTGGAATTGGGCCTAAAGAGGTGCAGCACTTCCTAAGCAGTGCAGAGGCTGAGACAGGCCCAGGAGGAGGCACAGCTGAGCAAAAACTGAAAGAATGCTGTCTTGATTTGGAAGCTGTCCTGATTAAAGAATTGTATCTACATTCCTAAGTTATATTTTGTTATCTCCAAGTTGATCCTAATCCTGAACCCCCAATAAAATGATTTTTAAAAAAAAGAAAAGAAATTGCTTTAAGAAAAGAAAAAAATTGCTTTTAAATATATAGCACTTAGGCCTGAAATAACAAATAATTACAATTGCCAGTAGAGTAGCCTTATGATAAGTTTCTAATCCATCTTTGTTAACATTCCCAAGTAGGTGGAGGTCATCTGAAATTGTTAGGTGCCATCTAGTCGGTTCCTGCTTACGTACAACACCATTGCTGTATCTGAAACCATGTTGCAGCCACAGTGTCGGTCCATCTAATTGAGGGTCTTTCTTTCTAAGGATTATGTCCTTCAGAGACTAGTCTCTCCTGGGAACATGTCCAAAGTATATGAGACAAAGTCTCGTTATCCTTGCTTCTAAGGAGCATTTTCTCTGTGGTTGTTAATGAGTCTTCCTTTAATTCTGAGGCTTTGTTCTTTATAGATAAAGTCCAACTTCTTGGGTTATGTGTTCAACTTACAGAATGAATGTTGTTGTTGTTAAGTGCCATCAAGTCAGTTCTGACCCATAATGACCCTGTGCACAACAGAACAAAACACAGCCATCCTCACACTTGTTCCGATGCTTGAGCCCATTGTTGTAGCCACTGTGTCAATGCATCTTGTTGAGAGCCCTCCTCTTTTTCACTGCCCCTCCACTGCACCAGCCTGGTGTCCATCTCCAGAGTCTGGTCTCTGCTGACATGTCCAAAGGTACTAGTGTACTTTTTTTTTGAAAGGCAGAATTGTTTGTCCTTTTGACAGTCCATGGTACTTTCAATATTCTCCAGCCCCACAATTCAACTGCAATGATTCTTTTTGGTCTTCCTAATTCAATGTCCAGCGTTCACATGCATATGAGGCCATTGAGAATACCATGACTTGGGTCAGTGCACCTTAGTCCTCAAAGTAGCATGCTTGCTCCGCACTACTCTAAAGAGGTCTTGTACAAATTGGATAGTTATGGTGAAAGGACACAACCCTGACACACGATTACTGATTCCGAACCACACACTTGTTCTGTTTGAATAAGTGCCTCTTGATCTATGTACAGATTCTGCTTGAGCATAATTAACTTTATTTCCATTCTTTGCAATGTTATCCATATTTTACTATAATTCATACAGGAAAATGCCTTTGTATAATCAATGAAGCACAGGTAAACCTCTTTCTGCTATTTTCTGTAGTCGGCCAAGATCCATCCGACAGCAGGTGTGATACCCCTCATTGCACACCCTCTTCTGAATGTGGTTCACATTTCTGGCAGTTCCCTGTTAATCTCCTACTACAAGCGTCTCTTACTTATCTTCACCCAAATTTTATTTGCTTGTGATGTTAGTGATATTGCTCAATACTTTCTGCATTCCATTGGATTACCTTTCTTTGGAATAGGCGAAGACATGATTCCACTTAGTTGACCAGGTAATTGTCTTCTACATTTCTTGGCATAGACAAGTGAGAAGTTCCAGTATTTCATCGGTTTGTTGAAACATTTCAGTTGGTATTCGTCAATTCCTGGAGCCTTGTGTTTCCACTATGCTTCCGTGTAGCTTGGACTTCTTTCCATACCATGGGTCCATGAGCATCTGCTCCCTCCTGAGACAGCTGAACTGAATGTACACCGATTCTTTTTGGCACAGTAGCTCTGTATTCCTTCCATCTTCTTTTGGTGCTTCTCACATCCAAACCAACTCACGGCCATTGAGCTGATGCTGACTCATAGTCATCCTGTAGGACAGGATAGGACAGGGTAGAACTGCCCCTGCGAGTTTATGAGACCAAGAGTAGAAAGCCCAGTCTGAGAGACAGCTGATGGTATCAAGCTACTGACCTTGCAGATCACAGCTTAACCACTGCGTTAGCCAGGCTTGCAACTTGAGGATTGAAGGTTTTCCTCAGTTCTCTCAGCTTGAGAAATGCTAAGCATGTTCTTCTCTGGCTCCAGGTGTTTACACTTAATTTGTCTTCTCAAGCTGCCCTTTGAAATCTCTGTTCAGCTCTTTGACTTCATTGGTTCTTCCGTTCACGTTAGCATCTCATCTTCAAGTTTCAGAGTCTCTTCTTACATCCATTTTGCTATTTTCTTTCCTTTCTCTTTAACGATCTTTTTGTTTCTTCACATATAGTGTCCTCGATGGCCTCCC